CGGCCTGCAGGGAAGAAAGGTATACCCCCTAAAAGGGGTTCGATCGAAGACGAAGAGGGCGGGTATCGAGGGTTTGGGGAATACGCGTTATTGGACACTCGAGCATATAAAGGGCGAACAGTCTTAAACTGATTGTTGTTGTTGCTGTTGTTGTATTTCTTGGACCAAATGCGCAGTTTGGTGACACCACATTTTCCGCTACAGAGCACCAGGTGCGAGCCCCCAGATGGGGCAGCTCAATAGAAACAATTCAGTGGTTCCCAGCGGGGGGGATCAGCAATCTTTATTTTTGATCAATGAAAGTTCAACAGCAATCCGCACCGCGGAACCCTACTTCAGCCACGCACCCAGGGGCAGTGAATGGCCGTTGGGCCCCCCCACTCTGACGCTATCCGCCACCGTGCCGCCAGGCACGGAGTGGGCGTGTCCTCAGGTCCTTTCTGCCCAATCCTTCGAGCTTCAATCCTCACTCCTGAGGAGTCGTTTAAGGGGCCTGTGGTCAAACTTGCCAAATCTCTTGGGGATTGTCGCGGTTCCCCTGGGTTCCAGCGCGTCTTGTCGCATGACTTTCCGGGCCCAAGAGGGGTTCTAGACGGGCCACGAGGGCCCCGAGAGGCCCCCGAGACAGTCCAAGGGGGCCCCGAGACGCCACAAGATTGCGCCAAGACGCCCAAGATGACCCCAAGATGGCCCAGGAGGCCTCCGAGACGCCCAAAGAGAGCCCCAAAAGCTGTCCCAGCAGGGCCCCGACAGGGCAAAATCAATGATGTTGGGGCCTCGACTTTTCGAGCTCCCGACGCTCCAAGACGGCCCAATAGGCCCCCAGGACGGCCCCCAGACGGGTGGGTGGCTTCTCGTCCGCCTCGCTAGATTCACCAGCCATGGACCACGGATTCGGCAGCAAATCATGGGAGCTTTGTGTGCCCTTTTAATCCCGTCTTTAGCGTCGATGTGCGTCGATTAGCGTCTGCGAGTCGATGAGACAGCGTCGATAAATTAGCGTTGATTAGCGTCGATTTAGCGTCGATTAGCGTCGATTCGCACGAGCCGACAAGAGGGCATGGGAAGCTGCCAAGAGTTGCTACCGGACGCGGAGGAGCGTCGTGCCACAACGTGCGCGTATGGAGATCGATGTTGGCTCGGGTGTGTTCGCACGCGTTCCAGTTTAGAATGGAAGTGTTTACAGGTTTGGGAGGCTACGGGACGGAAGCATCTTGGATTAGCACGAGGTGTTTGGTCGGCTACGCCGCCGGCAATCCGTGCGAAGATAATTGTGGTGTTTGTTCCCCTGTCTAGGATCGAGACGCTGTCCTCTTCCAGCGGGTTGGCGCGAGAGCGCGAAGACAACGTCAGTAGCTCTTCGTGTACATCGACGAGGGTACCACAATAGCTACGTTGGCGTGGCAGAAGGATGAGGCAGAGGGCGGAAGTTAGTTACCAATATTCGGGCGGCAGTTGCCATCTAATCGATGACGGGGCGCCCACACGCATACAACACAGTTGCGGCAACCACAGCAGTTAGAGGCAGCATCACCCTCAGATGCCGACGCGATAGTTTTGTTCCGTTGACATCTTTACCACCGCACTCCGCAGCCAGATCATTCTCGGGTACAGGCCGCGGCTCAGCCCATCAGCGCCAACGGGCGACTGCCGCCCACACCATCCATTTGCACAGCTACACACAGTCCACTGCCTGCGGCAAGTCCCGCCACCCTGCTTGCCCAGCCTCGCAAGTGGTATGGAGATTCATGCCGAGGAAAATTATTTCCCCACATGCTTAGTGGGGTTCTGGTTTTCTTCCCTGCCGCGCCGCACAGCACAGCACAGCACAGCTCAGCTCGGCACAGCACAGCACAGCTCAGCACAGCAGAGCACGCAGGGCTAGCGCGCAGGGCACGGCAGGCGTGACCGCATCACACACCACACACACACACACCACACGTCGGAGAGCGTGGTAGGCCCCACATAGAGGGGCACGTGGCAGGCGCGGCAGTTTCTCGACACCAGAGGGGATGCGCAAGGGGTGGTCTCTCAACACGGCCTCTATGCGTGCCAGGGTCGGAGAGCGTGGCAGGCGTTGTACTTTCTCGACACCATAGGGGGTGCGCAAGGGGTGGTCCCTCACCATGGCCGCTATGCACGACGGTCGTCCAGGGCATAGCTGGCGTGGCATTTTCTCAACACGATAGGGGGTGCGCAGGGGGTGGTCCCTCACCGCGGCCGCTATGCACGACGGTCGTCCAGGGCAAAGCAGGTGTGGCATTTTCTCGACACAGGGGGTGCGCAGGCGGTGGTCCCCCACCGCGGCCGCTATGCACGACGGTCGTCCAGCGCATAGCAGGCGTGGCATTTTCTCGACACCATAGGGGGTGCGCAGGGGGTGGTCCCTCACCGCGGCCGCTATGCACGACGGTCGTCCAGGGCATAGCAGGCGTGGCATTTTCTCGACACCATAGGATGCGCAGTGGGTGGTCCCTCACCGTGACCGCTATGCGCGCCGGTCGTCCAGGGCATAGCAAGAGTGGCATTTTCTCGACACCATAGGGGATGCGCAGGGGGTGGTCCCTCACCGTGGCCGCTACGCGCGCCGGTCGTCCAGGGCATAGCAGGCGTGGCACGTTCTCGACACCAAGGAGTGCGCAGGGGGTGGTCCCTCACCGCGGCCGCTATGCACGACGGTCGTCCAGAGCATATCAAGCGTGGCGCTTTCTCGACGCCAGACGGGTTGCGCAGGGGGTGGTCCCTCACCGCGGCCGCGGTGCGCCGGGGGTGCGGTCGCTATCCGTTTCGGCCTCGCAAAGCGTTGGCAGGCGTGGCACTTTCTCTACGCCACAGGGGGTGCGCTGGGGGTGCGGTCGCTGTCCGTTCCGGGCTCGCAAGGCGTGGCAGGCGTGGCAACTTCTCGACGCCGAAGGGAGTGCGCTGGGGGTGCGATCGCTATCCGTTTCGGGCTCGCAAAGCGTGGCAGGCGTGACACTTTCTCGACGCCACAAGGGGGTGCGCTGGGGGTACGGTCGCTATCCGTTCCGGGCTGGCAAAGCGTGGCAGGCGCGCTCTTTCTCGATGCCACAGGGGGTGCGCCAGGGGTGCGGTCGCTATCCGTATCGGCTTCGCAAAGCGTGGCAGGCGTGGCCTTTTCTCGACGCCACAAGGGGGTGCCTTGGGGGTGCGGTCGCTATCTGTTTCGGGCTCGCAAAGTGTGGCTGGCGCGGCGCTTCTCCTCTCCACCTCTCCTCTTGAGTGGCGTCACCAACGGTATCGGCGGGGCAACGGCCACCAACATCATTCTCACATGCTTCACTTCAGCTATCATCACCCCAGCCATGATATAAGTATGTGGGGTTCCTCGGTAGCGTAATTTATCACTTCGGTCACCCCGCTGGCCCATGTCTAATGGCTTTCTGCCCATCCCGCCACCGTGCCTGGGTGATGGATCTGAGGCCTCTGGGATGTTCGTCAGGATCTCGTGGAGGCTTGTCGGGGTCCTGGAGGCAGTTCTGAAGCATTTTGGGGGCGGTTTGGGGGCTGCGGGCCTCTTGGGGCCTCGAGGGGGACTCTCGAGGGCCATTAGGGGCCTCTTGGAGGCCGCTTGGGGCCTCCTGGGTGCCTCCTGGGGCAGAAGGCTCAGATTTTCGGTTGGTGTTCCCCCTCTTGGGATCGTCTTGGGGCCTCTTGCGCCATGTTGGGCGCGTCTTTCGGGCCTCTGGGGCCGTCTTGGGGCGACCCCTTGGGGGCCTCTTGGGACGGTCTTGGAGCGTCGAAAGCTCGACAAGTGGAGAAAGAACCCCAGGCACATTGAAAAGCCGAAAGACAAATCAATTGTCTTTGCCACTCGGGGCCCTTTCGGGCAGGTGCTTGAAGGCCTCTGTGGAGGTCTTGGGTGCTTTCTCGGCCGACTGGAGGCCATGCTGGGTGCCTTGGACTGATCGTTCAGCGATTCGGGGCCCTTTTCGATCGTCCTGGGGGCCTCATGGACACCGGGAGATCGCCCCGGAAATGTCCGCCATCTTTGAGCCCATTTTGCTGTGGTACTTTTCGTCGGGGGACCCTCAGGGGCGGCCCCGCGCGCGCGAACTCGAGGTGTTCTAAACTTGTTGCCGGAGATCTCAGCCCGCCCCTGGCCTGTTGGGCCAGCGAATTACGCTGTGGAGCCGCTCGTGGTTGCGATGGTTCCGAGTGGTCGATTGGATGGAAGTGGTTCCGCGACGGTTCCGACATGATTCCAGAATGGTTGTTGTTGCTTTGGTGGGCGCTTGAAGGCGTCTTCCGGCCATGTGGGGGAAGTCTTTGGGCCGTTAGCGGCCGTTAGGTTGAAGTCGAGCACGTCCCTCTACAAGAGGAATTTTCAATCATTGTCATACAACGAGCTGGGGACGATTTCTTTGTGCTCTCTTGATTCTTTGTTGATATGTTCCGGATAGTTTTAACGTTTCTCTTCCAAAGTCCACCTGTAGCAGGACATGCCCGACCTCACGTTAGCCGGGGTTGGGGTTCTGTCTTGGGTTTGGGGAACCTCCTTTGGCCCGTCTTGTGCCGCCTCGGAACCATCATGATGCGGCGTTCGGCCGTTGGTGAGTCGTCTTGGCGGAAATTTGTTTGGCCCATCTTCGGACCTTCCCAGGGATTTGTGGACCGTCCAGATGCTGACCAGGGCTGCTCCAATGCCATACAGCGCTTTTTGGGGTCACATCTTGGTTTTGTAAGGGGCTATTCGTGGCCGATTGGGTTCTCTGGGGCGTCTATGGGTGCCAAGTGCCATTTGGGAGATTCCTGGGACCGTCGTGCGTTGGCGTTTTGGTTGGCTTAACTCCCCCATGGGGCGACTATGGATGGGTGTCGTGTCGGGGGAACAGACGTATTCGACAATGAGACCTTCCCGAACAGTAAGATGTACCAGGGGCATTCTCACACGACGCAAACTGCCAGGATGCCCGGTGTCGGATTATTAATTGGCCACCTTCGGCTGGCCATTGTGTCTGACGTCTCGCGTTGATACGCCG